AAAGAGAATTTCAAGAAGAAAAAAAAATTTTTTCTTATAAACTAATAATTGTATAAATATATTTTACATTGTTTTTCTAAACAAATACCAGTATTTATCTAATATACTAAATAAATATTAATGTATTAAATAAATGCAAACCTGTGATGGCGAACAAATATATAGTCTCTTTGATTATGAAATGTTACAACTCTTCTACCATGAAACTGTGGATCATAATGAAAGAGAGAGGCAACCATTCGACCAACTCTTTGACCAAGTCTTGTATTGAAATTGTTCAATATGATTTCTGGTCTATGTGAACTCCATTCAGCTTTCCTCTATAATGCAAATTTGTTTAACAGGAAGTTTTAAATATTTTCAAAATATTTTAAAGTACTTACCTTTATATTTTTACAGAACTTTACACCACTTAATCTAAAATAAGCTGTTGGTCCTTCTGGTAAATGTGTTACCAATAAAGCATCTTTTCTAGTCAAGGTTTACTTTTCTTTAATTATAATTAATAATTATTTATCAATAAGGTGTAATTAAATGAAATGGATTATATAAAAATTAAATTAAAGTTTTTAGTAGTTTGATATTAAAATAGATGTAATAAATATATATGCAGCCTATTCAGAGTGCTATATGAGCTTATTATGCCAACAACTACCAGATTATATTGGGCTATATATCGTGATTACTTTAAATTAATTACTAAATAATTTCCCACTAGAGGGAGATGTTAGATGCCATCTCTTATTAGATTTAATAATTATAATTAAATTAAATAATTTAGAAAATTCTGGAAAAGAATTGGCCGAGAGCAAATCTTGAACCCGCAACTGCCATGCAGATTGTTGCCAGTTATGCTACCTGAGCCTCTAGTCCAACCTCCTCTTCCAGATATATTTAAACATGAGATAACCATCGTTGGTTACAGGTGAGTGTTTACAGGACATGGACACGAATGCATCTCCAGCTGGCATTTGACCCATTAAGTTCTTTTGAATTTAATTAACTGTTATTTTCTTTTATTTTTGTTAAAATAAAAGTTTGATTTACATTGGCACTTTGTTGTTAATTAATGCAAACAATGGACGTTATGAGATATTTAACAATAGTTGATCAGAATTCTTGCAATTGCTAATGTTAGGCATTTCCTAAAAATGCATAAAAATTCAGAAGTATTTCAATTTTCTTCTGATCTTAAAGATTCAAAATGCTTGGTGTTACTCCAAAAAAAATAACTACCTGTCTTATCTAAAGTATTATAGTATTATGTGCTAAGAAAGTGCAATTTTTTCCTCTTCATAGCACCGCAATATATATTCATCAAAATAATAACTATTACTTCACTTCTTGAAGTAATAACTGTTATTATTTTGATAAATATTTGCATTAATATTAATGTTAAATAATGTAATGAATATTTAGATTTCATTATGTTTATTAGAAAAGGAAATAAACTGCAATGGTTTGATCTTTCTTCTACTTTTTAGCCAACATAGCAATAAGCCATTATCTTACATATTCAATAATTTTACCATTTCATAACATCTTATTTCTTCAGTGTTTCATATTATTGTATTAATAATCTTTTTATACTCAATGAATTACTTACTACTCAACAGTTATGCTGAACTAGTTACATATCATTCTCTTGTGCCTTCTACAATTAGCTTTCATTCATAATACAAAGAAACATTTTAGATTCTATATATATATAATTTATTTTTGGAAAAAATCACCTTATTAACCAGTAAATAAGTAATCATTTTGTATATTTATTCATTTTTCTAATCAGGAGTCATGGCAGTGATTCTCTGCCAAGTAAAAAAGTCACTGACTGACTATATATACAGGAATCAGAGTTGCCGACTTTTTAAGGGTAGATTTCTCTGCCCCCAAATACCAGGGGCCGTATTCTGGTCACTAATCTCTCATCTCTTCTTTCAGAGACAAATGATGTCAAAACAAGAGAGGAAATTTGTCTCTCAGACAGTGGCGATTCTAATCACTTTTAACAATCTCGTCTTTGTTGTTGACATCATAATTCTACTAGGTTGACTGTATATGTTTGTGTTAGATGCGCACGTAACACAGTATAGAATTTTGACCAATGAAATTGTAAAGTTTTAAAAAATGCAGAGTATGTAATTATAGATGGTAAGGAAAGCACGCATTCAAATAAAGCACATGATTTTGACAAAGTTATGGTTTTTGTTTTATAATGTTATTACAGATTGTAATGTCAAATTGTCTCTTAAGAAATAAAAATTTTAATAACCTAAGTTAGAAAAGTGTGTGTACTTAGTTAAGGAGAAATTAGATGGTAATATTTCAAAAAATACTTAGAGAGACAGATAAAATTAACATCATATTCAATAGTTCAGTAATTGATGTAGGATAATTATAAAAAAAAAATGGAAATCAGTGGTGTTCCCAAGTAGGCACTGGAAAAAATCATAAGCATTTTTTCTCTCTCGAAATATTTTTTCCCAAGATAGAGAATGTTCTCTAATACAATTATACAGCACAAATAGCATACAGCCGTCCATATTGGATATAATCAAAGCAAAAGACAACTATCTGCTCGTCTCTGAGAGACAAGACAATCTTTGAGAGAAAAAAAAGTCATCCAGAATCAGGTTTGGAAAAACATGACGATCTCTCAAGATGTAAACAAATGATTAGCCAATCAGCGACTGGCTTGTGACGTAGCAATCAGGATATCCAATTTTTAACACTGACTAAGCGCTGATCTCAATGTTTATTAAAAGTCGTTCCTTTTTTCAACGTTGAAGTGGCACTGTTGTCAATGCTGACTCAACACACCACTACTTTCCAATGAATTGTGGGTAATTGGTGTGACACTTGAATGACATCCACCTTGCTGAGAATGGAATTATGGGAACTAAGTATGTACTCAAAGTTGGAAGGAATGTCGTTGATGACATCAGATTGTTCGTAAAATATTGGTATAAATATGTCTCAGAGACGAGAGACGATGACCAGAATACGGCCCTGTAGTAATTCTGAATATTTTGTTTGAAAGATAATTGTTTCCTTAGGTAGTGTTCAAAATTTCAAGATTTTCTATAAAGCAGTTGCCAAAATATAAGCAATAAAAAAATGCAAAAATCACTAAAAAAGCTGTATTTTCTACTTTTATTTCTTCATCTGACATTGCAGATATTCATAAAGAAAAACTGTTGGATCTAGAAAGCTCAAATTTTAAACTTAAACCTTTCCCATTATCAGTGAAGTGTCAGCAAAACTTCTGGATAGATAGGTTAAAGTTTCCCATAAACAATTTCTGTTTTATGGCTTAATTTTATGCTTAAAAGGATAAAGTTGCATCAAAACAAATGAATTTTATTCAAAATGTTATCCAAAAGTTCAAATTTATGTGAATTAAAACCTTTTATAACAATTTTTCTAAACAGTGTATCAAAAGAGTTGGTCAGTGACACATTGGGTAGCAGCGCAATTAGTCAGTGCCAACTGAAATGAATATTGAAAGCATTCAGTCACCAAACATTGACTAAATTGTACTTCATCATCTTATGTCTTGATGTAATAATACAATTATTAAACAAAGAACAATTGATATCCAAACAAAAACATCTGAGATGTAAAAAAAAATTGCACCAAATAAAAACTTAACATTTTAGACAACAGTCAAAATTTTTATTAACAGTTTTTCTTTGGTAAAGATAAGCTTAGTGCTTTGAAACAGTAACCCACAAGATTTTTACCTGCGTTATTCTTTTCTATATTTTCCTTCAAAGTGCCAAGCTTATTTTTACCAAAGACAAACTCCTAAGAAAAATGTTGACTGTTGTCTAAATTGTCATAAGTTTTTACTTAGATCAATTTTTTTACATATTAGATGTTTTTGTTTGGATTTACATTTTTACTTTGATTAGATGAAAATTTATAATTAATAATAAATATCTTTAATTCCTCAGCATTCTGAACTAGTACTTTTAATCCTTTTGAAGGATCATTTTCAGGTTCAATATACAATGTAATTTATACAAATAATTTCTGTTTATGAACATTTATGAAGGTAAAGTTTTTAAAAGTTTTCACTATCTTTGAGAGACTCATAACAAAAATTTAAATGTAAAATTGAATACTTTAAAAATTCACATAATTATTAAATAATGAAATTGTACAAAAATAAATTGACAGTTAGTAATGATAGTAAAAAAATATGACATTTAATATCATTATTTTGTTCATATAATTTTACTTTATAAATACAGTAATACCCCGACTTACGCGAATCCGGAGTTACGCGATTTTCAAATCTCGTCGATTCGTCTTTTGTTTGAGCGCCACGCAACTCTTAATTACTCATTTCCCCCCACACTATTGTTCGGCTTACATGTTCGGACGTATTCGACATATAGCTACAATTTATTTTGTGTTATTTGTATGTATTTATATGCAAAATTATACCCCGACTTACGCGAATTTGACTTACGCGGTTATCGCTCGGTCCCACCTATCGCGTAAGTCTGGGGTATGACTGTATACTTCAAAAAGAAAACCTGTTAATTCTAATGCAAAGACAGAAACATCACAAATTAACATACAATCATTGTATAGTAATAAATTTGGTAACTCAAACTGTTGTAATATAAATTGCTAAATCCAAGAATTTTTTAAAATTGATAGTGTAACAATTTGATAATGATTGCTATAACTTAACAATTAAATGACAGATCCATGCAAAGTGCTCAATATGAGCATTTGCAAGAACATTAGGAAATTTTAAATTTAAATAAAAAGTGTTTTAGAATTTAATAATAATATCTTATATAGAATTGTAACAGATCAAGCAATAGTTATAAACAATACTTAAAAGGATACTAGGATTTCTTTTATCTTCATTAATTACAATAATATCTGTAAATTCTTTTTTTATTGCCATTTTTATAAGATTTTTTATACTAAATTTACGTCTCCAATGTAAATGTGCATTAGGTATAGTTTGTCTTAATTCTCTAGCAAACAATAATGTTTTCTGAAAAATGCAATTTATACTATAAAATAAATTCATAACACTCATAACTATTTATATAAAAATTTATCTACATTTATGTAAACTATACCATATTAACTTACGGTATGTGGTTTTTCAGCTGTTGTTATCAAAATTTTCGGTACAACGTCTCTATTGAAATAATTGGACATTTCATCTGTATCTAAGTCATATTGAATCTAATAAGAAATAAGTTAAAATAATAAATATCAACTTTTCAATATAATTTCTATTTTTTTGAAATATAATATATTCATTAATTATCAAAAATGAGGTTATCAAATTAATTAACAATAACTGCATATAACTCAATTTACAGGTTATTAGTAAAAAATAAACCAGCAACATTTAAAATTTTGGTGATATTTTATTAAAAAACTTTTTATATTTTTAACTATTATAAAATGGCAAGAAACTTCATTTTGAGGGTAGGGATGAGTGTTATAAAAAATTGTAAATGCTAATAACAAGTAAATTTGTCATTAAGTCTGACTCTACTGGAGATACACACTATCCCCATTATCTCCCCACTCCCTTGATCTTTAACCACCAAAATTTAATAGCATCAATACCCCTAATCAAGAAACCTCCCTGCAAAATTTCAGAAATTTTTGACAAAAAGCACAAGAGTTATTAAGCTTCAAACAGGGTGAACAAAATTGTGCCCCACACCCACACACACCCATACAAACAGAAATTACCTCCCAAATTTCTTTGCATTTCTCGACATTTCAAAATGGCCTAAGTCTAAAAATGTAAAAATCTAGAGGGAATCATTTATAGGTAAATATAATAGATGTCCTATTTGAAGGGTCTAAAGATTGTAAAAATATCTGTTAAGTAGAGGTATCAGCTATTTGGAAGTGTCTGTTAATGGAGGTTTTACTGTATTTTTAATTAGAAATAACTGTGTACAATAATAACTGTTACTCTAAGAACTAATCTAGCTATTAGTTATCAGGGATGTAATAGTCTTTATACAAATATATTTTAAAAATAAAAATAAACCTATTTTTATAATATTCACAATACATTTAACAATCTCTTGCACACCAGAGTGCTGCATTCACCATTTGAGAATCATTGATGTAGGGAATACCAAAGCAATTACAACAATTGGATTTTATTATATTTATTTATTTTTAAAAGAAAAAATACTTACCTCTTCATCTTCACCATCAACAAAAGTTTCATCTGGTTCTCTGGTATTTTCAATTGTCCTTGGTGCTTGTTTTGGAGGTGCCTTTAGAAGTTAAAAAACATTTATTTTTAAAAGTTAGAACTATTTTCAATAATAATAAATAATAATAATAATTCTTTCTCAGGTAAGCAGATTACAAAGTTCTGTGCATCCACACAAACACAACTGAGTAAATCATCTATTAGACATTGCATACATTTATTCCAATAACAATCAAATGTAGTTTGGCATAGACAAAAGCAAAACATTTCACATAGAAAAAGAAATTTTGA